AGGAGGAGGAGGAGGAGGAGGAGAAGAAGAAGAAGAAGAAGAAGAAGAAGAAGAAGAAGAAGAAGAAGAAGAAGAAGAAGAAGAAGAAGAAGAAGGAGAAGAAAAGGTAAAGAAAGAGTTGCCATGGTCTTCACAGCAACAAAAACCCTAAGACAAATGCTTATTAGATAATTCTAGAATCTGGTTAAAGAGAAGGTGTATTTAGGAATTACTATTTCTTTATTTTATATAGGAAATTTGAGATAGATCCTTTAAACCCAAACAAAACAAAGTGGGTAGATGGGTAGTCAGCAAGTCTGTTAAGGCCACAATCAACACAGAGCTCTTTGGAAGACAACGCACTGTGGCGTCATGGTCCTTCATGTTCTAGTGAAGATGCACCTGATGCCAGCTTCCAATTTCTAGCACCAAAACAGCACCAAGGCAGAACAACAACAAAAACAACCAATCAGCTTCTGGTTTGTGAGGGAAATCCAAAAACCAGTCCCCACAGGCAAAATTCCAATCTATCTTTGTTTTTGTGTGGCCATGAGCTAAGAATAGATTGTTCTTAAATGGGTAGGGAAAAATATTTAGTGGCATAAAAACTGTACAAAAATCAAACTTGAGTGTCCAATGAAGTCTGACTGGCATGCAGTCACATGGTCTCCTGCTGCTGGTTTTTAACGTTCACCATGCTGTGGCAGAGCTGAGGAGCTGTGAGACCACCAGCCCGCAGAGCCTGGCATCTCACTGTCACTCTTTACAGAGAAGCCTTGCCAAATACTCATTGACCTGGTGTACAAAACTCGTGATAATTTGATAAAAAAAACACAAGAAAAATGTATCAGATTGATGTCAACAATGTATTTCAGATAAAGAAAACAATCCCTTTATGACATCACACTCCATGAGTTTATTCATACGAGCACGTACACCAGCCTTGATATTCTCAAGTGAAAATAGTTGGTTTTTAGCTATGATAAAGGATAACTAAACCAAATTACAAGATGTTAACAAGAGAGATCAATATTTACCATAGTGGCATCCACCTTGAGGTCCTTTAAGTAAAACAGTGACTACAGAAGATTAATAAAGAAAAGGCATGGCCTCTGGGCTTTGCACAGGCTTTCCTGGCTGCCTGCAGGTGCTGATTAGGCATATAGTGATCAAATTTATCTCAATACATAAGAGTCAATGTAAAAGCTGGAGTTAGTCACTGCCTTCTGCTATCAGTAATTTAGTTAACAAAATGATCATCTGTTATATACAAAGGTGGTACCTGGGATACAAAAATGGTAAACAAAGGTGAACAAATCGAGGGCTCACCTTTGACCCAGACAGCAGCCGTCAAAGGGCAAGAACCAAGATTAACTCCACAAGAGGGGGCCTTTAACTCTAACAAAAACTCATGCAGAGGCCAGAAATTTCTTTCTCTTTCTTGTTTGAAACAAGGTCTCACTATGTAATCTAGTCTGGCTTCAACTGGCTACCCTGCCTCAGTCTCCCAAATGTCAGCATGACAGGCTCTACACAACCATACCCAACTCAAGGAAACTCTATATAACCTCTGTATTCAAGATTGGTAAACTAAGCTGTGGAGAAACACCCTGACTTAATGCAAGAGTGACTTATATAAACTCTCAGCTCTCCACACAACACGGTCATCTATCTTGGGAAATATTGAAGCACAAGTCTCGAAATCTCGAAATTTCATTGTACCAAAGAGTCAAATGCTGGAGGGGAGAGGGGCTAAACTAAACTAAGATCTTGTCAGACCCTAAAATTCGGATATGCTATCTTTCTGCGTCCTTGCAATGCACACAAGAGTGCAGGAAGTAGTCGTGTTTTCCCCTGAATTTCCCTCTTCCCCAACCCCTCCCACCACCCAGTTCTCCTGTTTCTCATTACCCTGGGGATCAAACCAGGGCCTCAGGAATGCTAAGCACACACTCTGTGACTGAGCTATACCCCCTTTTCTTTAAAGAGACAGCAGAGAAGGAAACTTTGAGAGGCTAACTGCCTTTATTGATCTAGGGACCATAAAAGATAGCTGGGATTCTATGCTCTTCCCTCTTTTTAATCCTAGACTTAACTATTATTTACCCCAAAGAGGATTCTAATTATGTATGGTAAATGAAAGGACACTGAAACCACCTAGGATATCAGTCACAAAAGATGAGAAAAAACGTTTCAATAAGCTGCCATCTAGTCATACAGTTAAACTATTATTAAAATTTCATTTTCAGCCTGTGTTTTAGACCCGTGGAAATAAGGAGCAGTGGTAACAGGAATTTTATTTACCACGTAAAATCCCCCTGAATTTGACCCTGGGGATCATAGCCACCCTTGTCCTCTCCTAGTCTAACCCCAAGTGTAGACCTTCATAACCATTTGGCCGCCTTTTCCCAGCCCAACACCCGTGGGTTTGTTTCTCTATCTGCTGCAGTGCAGTGGCAGGAGGAGAGCAGGCCCACTAACACCGCAGAGGAGTGTAGAGTAGGAGCTGAAGGAGTCCCACAGAGCAGACCAAACAGACTAAGAGGAGCTGCCTCCAGCTAGTGTCACCAACACTGCGGAGTGGGTAGTTAGGGTGTAATAAAAAAGTGAAGTTTCTCTGTGGAGAACACCGTAAAGTTCAGGATTTTATCATCTGTATGAAGTGTAAAAGGGAAGGAGGGCCACTGTGTACAGAGTTCTGTGGAGCAACAGCAAGACAGTAGTTCACCGTGGTTTTGTCTTTTCTAAACAAATGACCACTGGGTGAAGTGTAAGTATACACTCTTATTGGTAATAAGCTCTAAAATCAACTGAATCTTGACGGTAGAGACTGTCCCATGGGATTATCCACAGAAGTGACTTAAGGGGCCCCTAGGTTCTCTGATGACAGCAGGACAGCTCCAGAGGTGGCTCCAGTCTACTCTTGATCAACAGTCAGTCCCCTTAAAGTTTCTACTAACAATGTCAACAAAGTTGTAAACTTGCAAATGGAATCTACTTCATACACAGATGCTAGCCATAAGCAAACAGCTAAAAAACAGGTCTAAAATAAAGAAGCTGGGCCTATTCCCAAGTACACTCTACTCGAAGAATACCATCTGAATTTATTAAAAGACGGATAAATTTGGCATAAAAAAAGGCATTTTTAACTTCATTAGTTTTAAGTGCTTGGTCAAATATCAACCAGAAACAGACAGAAATAAACATGGCTGTTTGCTTACTTCCAGAAATAAGAATCTCAAGAGGCTCATGTGTGTCTGTTTTTTCCTTGAATTCTATCTTCCTAGTCCCTCAAAGACTGAGGATGGAACCGTCATCAGTTTCTGAAACATGCTGCAGGTCCGTCTCATGAGGTAGATTTGTCTGAAAGGTCCTAGCTGGAAATATGGGCACCAAATAGTTAAGTGATTTCCTCAAGTCACTCTAGAAGTGACCCACGGGAAAACAAGGCAAAAATCAAAGACTTTACACAGGTCGTATAGATAACTTTAGTCCAAATTACTTATGGATCTGCCATGAAAGCCGACCCAGGGCAAAGCGATACCTAGTCACTGGAATGCCCGCCGTACTGAGAACAGAGTGAAGTGGGGAAGGAAGTAAAGCTGTTTGCAGCTTCAGGTACAAGTCCTGGAGCATCAACCTGAGATCATCCAGGGCTGGAAGAGCGATGTCTGTCCTCTCCTAGCTACGACAGGTCTATCTCTTGAGCCGTGGGAGTCAGCTTGTCCAGTAGAAGGGTTTGGCATCCCCTCTTAGCGCCTCACTAATGAGAAATGGCTTCTTTGTCAGCAAAGATCTCTGAGGATCCTTGTCACACCTCAGAACACGCAACAGCACCACTGGCTCACACTAAACTTTTAATGGATTTGAAATAATTCCAATATAAAAGGAAACAAAATTCAGGGTGGCATTTACAATAATTAATAAAAAGTTGTGTACAGTGATGAAAACTGGAACTTTAGGAAATATAATTTGAAAGTTACAAAAGTACTGATAAAATTTTAAGATTATTTTCCTTTTAATTCCTAAAAAAAGACTGACAATAACATAACCAATGCTAGTTTCACTTGTTATTTCATTAAGGAGATCTCACATCTGTTTCACAGATAAAGGGCATCCTTATGATTATCACGTTCTGCCTTGCAAAGCAGTTTTACAGTACTTCAGGTGGCTTTGCAATCCCTCTTTTCTTACGAGTGAATCAATAAATATGCTTATTTACAAAACATTTGTTATAAATAGACATAACACCTTGTGACACAAACCATATACATTCATTTTTTTTTTTTTAATCTAGCCTGGCCCTTGCTTTTTTTTTTTTTCCAATTTTTTGTTTTCTTTTAAACTCCAATAATGACAGAGTACCATGACAGTTTTCAATAAATATCAAATAATCATGTCTGTCGAGACAACAGATCAATACTAGTGAGCTTCGAAGAGCAACAACAAAATCTTGGTTTTAACTGTTTCTCTCTCTCTTTCCCTCCCCCTCCATCGTTTCAAAGGCAAAATTCATCTTTAGAAATTTCATTGATCAAAAAGCCTTAAGAAGTAACACAAAATATAGTAGTCTCAATGTGATGACCCTAGTAATTCAGAGTCCAAGACAGAGTTTGTGAAGCTAACAATTCGTCCAGATTGATGCATTCAAATGCCATAGAAAGCAAGCGACATCATGCAAGGTTAATAGTAAGGTAAAAAACCACCATTTTAGGCATCCAAGCGGTGCTCCGAGGAGGGTGTGCTCACCGTTACTTCAGGGAAGCCTCACAATCAACATGCAACTGGACACGTGTCACAATAGAAGCTTAGCTCGCAAGGCTATTAATTAGAAACAGCTGATCTCCACACAAGTGTGAAGTACAAGGAAACAAAGTATCTTTTAAGCTCATTTTAACAGCTAAATATTGCTTCTAGCAATAATTACTTAAGCCATAGGAAATGACAGTATTTTTGTTTAAAGAAAAGTGTGTTTACATACAGATCTTGAGTTAACCTGGACTCCAGGACTTTTAAAGGTAGGTAGTCTGAAATTTTCAGCCCTGGCTGGAGGCCTAGGGACACCAGCACCATTTCCCTAAACCAAATCAGCTCTGTGTATGAAAAGACAGCATTTAACCACTGCATGATGCTTCTGCACAGCAGGCAGGATACAGTCGTCTATCCCGGACAGCTCATACACACCGACAAAAAGGCCACAGGTGTCACAGCCCCTTCCAGAAAAGGCCTTTGTATGTACTGACTCCACACTCCAAGAAAAAGAGTGGTTATGGATTTGGGGATGAAATCTATCATTTTAAGGCTTTTGAAAGGTTGGGAAGTTGAATTTCTTCTTAAACTACAGAGCCCATGCCGCATAAATGGCTCTAGGAGACTGGGAAAAGAGTCCATCCATCCAATGTTTTCAGAGTGTCCCAGCCTCTGTGAGACACAGAAAAGGGGGACCCAGCAGCAGTCCACAGTAAGAGCATGCAGGGTGGCTTTTGGGTGAGTACCACCTGCCATGCACCTCAATCTGATTTGCCTAAATGTGTTGACTTCGGGGCAGGCACGCTGGCTTGGACAATCCATTGCTACTCCTTTTTCCTTACAACACGAACTCTCCAAAGATCCACATTTTATTATTGGACAGGAAACATGACCACAAAAGGTCTCTATAACAGTGAAGGATCAAGATCAGAGGCATGATGTAGGCAATTACACATTTGAAGCCACAGATAGGAGTTCACTGGTTTTGGTCTTGACATGTCAGATGAGCACCCTGTTTTCCAATCATAGAAAGATCAACCACCAAACAGCCAGTGCAAGGACCAGGAGAAAAGACATCATGAAAGGAATGCGAGGCGACGGGAAAGGACTAGAGTAGAGGAGGCACTTTCTGAGAGCCTTGTGTTCCTCGGGGATTGGAATAGAAACCTTGGGAGCAATCTCTTCATTTTCTTGCTGGGGCAAGGTTCTCTCAGTGGATCTCTCTGGCCTTTTAGTTTTCTCTTCACCCTGTACTAACAGAGCATGTTCCTGTGTCTGCTTTCACGGTAGAAGATCAAGAAAGACAGAGAAAGATGAACAAAATGACAGATGGAAAATGCTTAAAAGTGATACTTGGGGATGTGCAAAGGTGTGGAAAGGTCTTTTGGATGCTTTTGCTTTTAGCTTCTCTTTACTTTGGCAATTTACCTAGCAGTTTCTGTAACCCAGCAGGTTTAACTATGTAATTAAATTAAAATTTAGTGTTTTGAATAAACTAGCATTGGAAGACTTGAAAGTTCAGGCAATCACTGGCTTCCCTTCATTCCATCACTTGTTCCTCAGTGAGGTTATTCATACATGATTTTTTTTTTCCACTTATGGATTAGGTTGCTTTAAATTGCTTTAGTGCTGCAAATAATCACTGGATCAGGCAATGTCAAGAATGAAGCGTTCTTCTTGTCATGAGTAAAGTTACTTTTACTGACAAATAGAACGGCAGAATAGAAAGCAATTTTTCTATCTCTTCAGAAAGACTTTAAATGCAACAGCTCTGTATGAGAATTAGATTTTGCTCAGGGGACTAGAAGAAGTAAAGACTGCAAAATAAGAACAAAATGTATAAAAATTTATAATGTACCTCCAGGGTCTACCCTGGGGTGGGGACAGGGCAAAGAAAAACAAGAAAGGAAAATACATTCCCACAAGACCTTGAAGGATTATACACTTAGTGAAAGATCCACCCCCAACTGGCCAACTGAGACTCTCTCCCCTGCATCTCTGTACTCTGCTCTCTGTGGTCAAGGCGGACGGTATCTATGAAAGGAAAAACTTGGCTCTGAGCTCTCTTAGTTGAGCCAGCCTTCTCTGGTCAGTTTGGAAGTTGAATACTGGTTCTTTGCACACCCCCAAGTGATATGTATCAGGGAGAAAGTAGCTAGGGGACTGGTCAGCAAAAAGAATAAAAGGAAAAGATAGGATGCAAAATTATAATGATTTTTAAATGAAGATAAGGTGGGAGAAGAAAGACAACATAAAAAGAATAGGGTATAATTAAATTCATTTTCTCTCTGAGTACATATTAACATCTTCATGCATCTTTCCAAACAGCCATGCGCCGAAATAAGCAAATTGAAAACTGCAGATGCCGCTGCAGTGGGAGTGTGATGTGTTAGGCCAAAGGCTGTGGGTGGGGATTTACTAGTGTAGCAAAAGAAAAAAACGTGTTCAGCCACTGTTGCTGAGTTGTGGGGTTCTCTGCTTAGAGCCATGACCAGAGCAAGTTTTAGTGAGCAGCACAGTCACAGCAGCAGCTTTACCTCTGGCCCACCAACCTTTCTTTCCGAGGGGAGGGTAGAAGTTTTCTTCACCTGGTCACACACAAATTATATAAAGTTCAGTTGCCTCGCAATGCAACGACAATGCTGCCCAAGGCAGGAGAGGTTTCCCCAGAACAACACATTAGCCTAACCGTAAAAAGACAGGCCCAAAGTAGAGCTGCCCCAGCACAAGGGTGAAGACAGTACAGTCACTTACTCCAGCTTCACTCACAGGGAATATATGTGTGTGCATAAAGCTAAAATCATTTGAGCACCCCTCAGGGATCGATCTGAGTTTATGAGAAGTCCTTTCTTTAAAGTTCACAGAATGGCACTGCCATCCCTAAACCAGCCTTAGGATGATTTCGAAAGGGTTTCTATTTAAAGACATAAGCTATTTTCTGAAAATGGAGACCAATACGAATTTACCCAATGACAACCAAGACAGCATCAAGTTGCTTTTCAAGCTACTTTCAGAGTCCAAAATAGAACTAGAAAAATATGCAGGTACAGTTTGTAGGTGGGAGAGGGTTAAGAGATGAGACAGTAACAAGCCACTCGTGTGTAGAACACCAGAGAAATAAGCAAGGGCATTGAAGATCATCCATTCTATAAACAGGCCCAGCGAGACAAATGGCTTGTGCAGAGCATTTCATTAAGCTTTGATTGACTAGACCCTCTCAGTCAAATCAAGCCACAACTACCCTTAGACCTTTATGAGTCTTATTTCAGAGGACACAGCAAATGAATTTTCTGCCTTTCAAAGTGGTGGTCTTACCCAGGAGGGGTTATTTTCCTAGTTTAAAGTACATGCTATAGACTTAGAACACAAAACTAATGGCCATGTATGTCTGGGAACAGGGCCTGAGGGGACAATGCATGGGACAACTGTCTCCTACGACCCCAACGACTAGTCAGCCGCCTGCTACTGAGGTGTTCTTCCACCCCATTAGTGAAAGTGTTAGCTAATTTTAATCTAAATTTGAAAAACACAAAAGGTTTTCTTGGAAGGATTTTTAGCCTCGTCTGTAGCTGCAGAAACTAAGTAATAAATGATATAACTGGGTAGTTTACCAAGAATCCTGAAAAAAATTTAAACCCAATTTGTGTTTTGTTTTAGAAAAGGGTCTCACTATGTTATTCAGTTCTGCCTCAAAATCCTAAATTAGGCAATCCTTCTGCGTCAGCCTCATAAGGAGTGGGACACAGAGGCCATGCCTGGTAAATCTCAGGTTTTATTGGGGATTTTAGTTTGCTTTTCTCAACTAGAACTGCTATTGTTGGGAGGGCACAAAGTAAGCACACAATTAAAAAATATATAATCAGTCATTAAGTTATGGTGACTGTTTATATAAATGACATGCTGGCTAGAGATAAAGACTTTAGATGTAAGTTTGACGAGATACCACCTTTAAACAGATTTATTCATTCTGAGATAGGGTTTCCAAAGTAGAAAATAGTAACAATAGAGAACAGACCCTGAAAGGTATCTCTGAACTTTTCTGACAGTAACTGTCTCAGAACACAGCTGGTTGAAGGTTTAATGCTATGCAAGATAAATCATCAGTTGTTTTTGTGAAATTGAGTGTTCTACATTCTCTGGCTTTAGGGCCTCCTTTGTTTCTTATATAACTGTGAGCAATCATTCCAGACATTTCTAAGTTGTACAAATGTTCAAATAAAGTTTTTGAAAAATGTACTCCCTTCCAATTGTGACCTTACTAAGTTTAGCAAACTCTCTGGGCCTGGAAGGCAAATTTTGAATATAAACAAAGCTTTATTGGCATGAAGTCAGTACAAACTAGCCAGAAGCAGGCAGCTTCAAGCAGTTCCCAGAGCCCAGCCATCCACTAGTAATTCTAAAGGACTCCTACAATCGAACTGAGCTGCATAAATGACCAGGAGTATTTGATTATTAATGTTTTATAGCAGCAACAAACTGCTAAGGCACCAAAGCCAAATTTCAGCTCTAAACTTTCAGACACAGAACATTAACATACATAATTAAAATACTTATTGCATTCAGCTTCACAGTCATGTGGACAAAGTACTTACTCCATCTCCAGTAGGGACTTGCCCATTGATGTTAAGAGTTCGGAAGGGTGAGTGTGTGGATAAGCGCTTGTCCCACTCGCTAGGTCGTGGTTCGGGTACCGATTCCATAAAGTTCTTTTTCAGCTCACTGATGCTGGCATGATGCTTTTTTATTTCTTCTTGACTCTTGTCTAAATCCTACAGTTGAAAGGACAAAGAGGTAAAACAATGAATAACCGGGACAAAAAACACACCAAGGGCAACCTATCAGAGACTGGGCACTGTAGAAAACACCACATCCAAGCAGACATTACTGGCCTGTATTTTGCATTAGGATTGTAAATATACAACACTGTTTGCCTCTTTTTTTCTTTTCTTTTCTTTCTTTCTTTCTTTCTTTTTTTTTTTTTTTAAACAAAGTGCTGTACTTGGAAGCAGTGAAGCATCACAATCCCACAGCTCTTGGAGGTTGAACTGCCCAAGAAGAGCTTGCTCCTTAATTACGTAACTCCTCTTCCACAAAGGATGCAAAACCAGATCTCCACCTCCTCATCCTGAAAAGGTAACCCCACAATTCAATTAGCCTCAGCTTGATGAGAAGTGACTTGGGCTCAGCTCAGGCAGGATGGAGATAGCCACAGGGAAACAGATGGATGACGGACATGGTAAACGACCTCAGCTCTGCTCCCTACCATCCTTGGTGAGCTGCAACACTGCAGAGTCCCTGTCTGTCCACTGCAGTACTTTTGCTTCTCTATTACTAAGACTTTTTTTTTGGCTCAAGAATTTATTACTAAAATTCCTAGTTCTAGCCTCCAAAGTCAATTGTTACTACCTCTAAAAAAAAATTAAACGACTTTAAAGATTTTTAAAAATTATGCATGTGTATGTACGTGTGCATGTGCAGGTCAGAGGACAACCTCAGGTATCCCCCTCAGAAACACTGTCCACCTCTCTTGAGGCAGGGTCTCTCATTGGCCTGGAGCTTACCAAGGGTGAGGCTGGCTGGCCACCAGGTTCCAGGGATGCTCCTGTGTTATTTCCCCAGCGCTGGGATTACAAGTATGCACCACCATGCCCAGCACTTTTACATGAGTTAAGGGTATTGAACTTGGGTCCTCATACTTTACAATCATATATATTTCTTTTTCAGTATTTTCCCTACAATATAAAATCTTATGGTTTCCCAGTTTCATTTCTCTTAATACAATTCAAAATAGGGACTTATGGGGCTGGGAGATATGGCTCAGTGGTAGAGTGCTTGTTAGCACTCACACAGCCCTAGGTTTGATCGTCAACACCACCCACAAAAGAACTTCCAATGACAGTCAATAGAGTCTCGTATCTCTCCTTGATAATTTAAAATAATACAATTGTTCCAGCAGTTTGAATACTGGACAACTAGAGGTAGATGAAAAGTTCTTTAAGGTAACAGTCTAAGGAGAGATGATCAAAACTAAGGCTAATAAATCATAGGCTAAGACATTCAGATTTTTTTGTTGTTAAAAAGATACATATTTTTTTTAATGAAGGACATCAGATGAAAAGCAGTCTGATAAATTTAACTTGAAAAACAGACTCAAATGTTCTTTGTCTAACAATACACACACACACACACACACACACACACACACACACACACACAAACACACAGAAAACCTCAAAAATTTGGGTTTCAGATCACAATAGCTGGAGCCTGAAGCTATAAAACAATCTTGTGTTTATTTCCCACCAGGGCAACATTGTATCTAAGAAAAGCATGATGCTAAACAGACCTCCCCACACGTGTGTGAACTTTGGGATTCATCTATTTTTGGTGTTGTGGGAAATAATTTCATTTTGGAAAACAAAAACAAAATAAAATGGAAATTTTTTTTGATCAAAATGTGTTTACAAGTTTTGTTTTGTTGTGGTTTTTTTTCCCTTGCAGGCAAGAAAGATCTTAACTAAATAAAACTTTCTCCAAATCACTATCAAGGAGAAAACAATAGAAAACCCAGGGACTCATGTGACATCTGGACTCTGGGGCTGCTCCTTCGGAAACTCATGAACTAGCCTCTTTTCTTTCTATTTTTGCAGGACCGACCCACGTGTATTTGCTTTGAGAGCAGAGAGAAAACTAACCCCAAGAGCAACTGCAGCTCCCCACAAAGAGCATTACGTGCTCACTAAGAAGAAGTGTGAGTGTATCTCAGGAACATGAGCTTCCCTGGGGGGATGCCTGTCACAGCTGAGAGCAAGGAGGGTCGTTACCAGCTGAAGAAAAACATGTACAAGCTCTTGGGCTGGTGAGAGTGTGACCCAGCTCCTGACTGATGTTAAATCTGTTTTGGCCCAGAACAACTGAACACATATATGAGTTTAAAAGTACAGACAAGGCAAAACAAAAACAACCAAGAGATGCCGTGACAAACACAATTCTGACCCAGCCTGAGCTGAGGCCGCTGATTTGTAACTCTGCTTGCCTAGCTGCTGATTGGTTTGGAACCTGAGAAAAATACATTTTTCAATAAAACTGATAGTTTCTGAGGGAGCTTTCTCCATCCTTCTTAGCTGGCTTGGTTGGAAACCTGTGGGGGCACAGAATAAAATTAAGATCGCAAAGGGACCTGTTCCAAATAGAATTTGTCATAGACATTTGCTACAGGTTCTCTCTGGGAGCTGGAGGAGGAGGCGGCAGATCTAAAAATGAACTCGACCTTATTTGTGCCAGAACAAAGCATTAGTGGGGGTGTGATAAGAGAAGGAGGGAAGGGATGCTTTAAAAAAAAAAGAAAGAAAGAAAGAAAAGAAAAGAAAAAAACCTGCCAGAGCGACAGATTACTTAAGAGAAGTTCCTTGGGGGCACTTTTTACAAAAACTAAGGAATGATAGTCAAATTATGTCAGGTTATGTTCAGTCAGGTTAGATAATTTTTGAGGGCTATCATCTTATGGTTTTAGCAGCAATAAAACCAAACACTTGGTTAAACGTAAAATGTTCTCAAAAAGCAGTTAGTAGTTTTAAATTCCAAACACACACTTATTAAGAAATCTCCTCCCAGGGCTCTCAGAAGAAAACACAGCATAACACAGGAATTTTGTGAGTCTCAGAAGCCACAACACACCTTGTGGAACACATGACAAATATATGATTGGCACAGCAAGTTCAGGAATGTGAATTTAGAGTGGGGAGGTGTCACACAGAGAAGAAGTGATCACTGGCATGGTTTGTCCTTCCTAATCTCCAAAGACAAGACCATGCAGGCCTCAGATATGGGCTAAGACAGAGACTTCCCGTTTCCAAGTTTGAAATACACCAGAGTCTGGTCTTAGAAATACTTTGTTATATGCGACAAATATATGTAAAGCACTTGGCATTGTGTCCATCATTCAATATGCAATTAATGAAGGCCATCCATAATTTTTTATTATTTGTATTAAAGTACCTTACATAAGTAAGTACCTTATATAGCAGATACTTGAAATAGTTATCAACAAAAAAATGAAATGAGATTAAATAATCTTTACAGGCCAATTAGTAATGAGAAATATATATATAATTTGGCCTTTTTCATTGGTGTTTTGTTTTGTTTTTGTTGTGAGGCTAGGTCTTTTGTAGCCCAAACTGGCCTTAAAATATAAAGCTGAAAATGACCTTGACTCCCTGACCTTCCTGTCTCGGCCTCCCGTGTGGGGATTAAAGATGTCCTCCTGTGCCTGACAAGAGCTCTATTTTCTAAAGTTTCTTCACCCTTTCAGATTGTGTATACTGGATACACGGCTCTTCTTTCAGGTCTCAATTTCCTTAATTTTTCTCATGGCGTTCTTCTAATCTCCAAATTGGTTTTACATTTCATATACAGCATATAGCTCCAGACTAGATAAAGTATACGAACTGAGGCAAAAAATCTGGCCACTGCTGAATGTAATAGGAAAAGGACCTTAGGACTCCTATATGTTACTCTTTCTGAGAAGAAAACTGTCATTAAAAATCATAAAACTCCTATATCAAATCCCAGCTTCACCAACTTACTAGCTCTATGGCCATGGAGAAAGTACTGACATTTCCTGACTTCAATGTTTTCATGTAAAAAAAAAACAAACAAAAAACACCACTCACAAGCTTGCTTTTATGGTTAAGCCTACAGTAACCACCCTCAAATGCTGGGCTCACTTCTTTCTTGTTTCTTCCTTTTTCTTCCAACTTTCTCTAGTAGTTTTTTTTGGCTATCTCCAGTGGGTAAGCCCTTATCAATCGTGACCACTTTGCCTCTTTTGTTGGTACTCTTCTCAGTTCAGGAAAAAAGGAAAAACAGTGCAAATTTGTTTCTTGGGGCATTGAGAGATTATACTCTTAGAAAATTCAAGAAACTTGATGTTTGAATGTTCTGAAAGGGGGTAAAACAGCAGAACCATGGCAGGGAGAGACAGTTCCAATCATATATTTCTCTAGAGAGTATGAGAGATGAAACTCTAAGTTAGGAGAGATGATTGCGTATTTCCATGTTTATGGACATGCAAAAGCACTTTAAACCTAAAAATCTCACATGCAGTGTCATGCAAAACCAAACACAGCATAGGATGAAGGGGATCAGCAAAGACTGCAGAAGGTTCCAGGCAACCAACTGAAATAAGCTTCAAGTTCATACAAACCTCCAACATTAAATTGCTATGTCTGATATAAATGTTTTCACCATCTAGTCTCTCTCTCTTTTTCTGTGAAAATGAAAGGGGGAAAAACAGAAGCATAAAAAATTAAAATGTTGTTCTTGCGGGGGGAACGAACGGCAAAACAAACAAACCAAAAAAAAAAAAAAAACATTTAAAAGCAAATGTCTGCAATGCAGCATATGCCAACATGAAATGGTCACAGAACTACAAGGACACACAGAGAGCATGGTTACCAGAAAAGAACGGATGACCTTGTTTGCAAACAATGGAAAGCTGTGATGATGTTATTTAAATAGACAGTGCTCCTGGCTTCATAGCTTCTAACACAATAAGCTGTTTTATGTTTGTTTTTGAAATTGAGCTATTTGAATATTTCCCATATACATATGATGTGTGTATACACACATACACACACACATATATATATATATCAAGAGCTTTGAACACCACGTATCATGGAGTGGAGAAATGCTGTAAAAAAAAAAAAACAACTTAGCTCTTTGGAGAGTTTTATACTTATGAATACTGCAATATCTGGATCTCTACAGTGTTCTGTATTTAATCAGGTAACAAGTATATCCAGTAAGAACAGGTTCATCCCACTATGAGGTGGGAAATCAGCACGCAGCAGTTAAACTCATCCTGTTAATTCTGGAAGTTGCTGCTATGATTGCTTTAGTGACAAATGTCTATAAAATGATAATGGGTCTAATAGTATGATGCCATTGGGAAAGTTCTTGTAAAGTCTGAACGTGAAAGGTAGGTCTGCCCCCTTCACAATATTAAGAGACTTCTCTGCTGAAAGCTTACTTTGATAAAACCCGTCAATAAACAGTCCAAGGTTCTAATGTCTTTGTGTGCACATACGTGTGTGTAAATGCACATCACAACTCCACTGTTTGAAGGTTCCCTACATATTGGCTCTCTCAAAGTAATTCCTGGTGGAAAAAACTCAAGGGCTGGACCACTGTCTTTTCAACACACTCATCAGCACAGGTGAAATGACGGCATGGTGGTGGGGAAGCAGAAAACGGCTAACCTTCCTCATTCTTATCAGCTCTTCAGGCTTTTCTGCAAGCTTCTGTTTTGCCACAATTCAATAAAGAAAAAAATAAAATAAAATATTGGCTCATTGAAGTTTGCTTGAACCTTTTATTTATTTTTAAAGAGGAATGGGGGAGAATCAAAAATTGACGGGTAAAAGGGGAAAGGGGCAAGTGGCCTGTTGGCACAAACCTGTGTTTGGTCACCATTTGAGGTAGGTACTGTGACCTCGGTGTGGGGTTTTTCCACCTACATTTAAGAAATAAAATAGTGAAACAGTTTAGGTTAGCAGGCTTCCATGAACAGCAAACAGCTTCATGAAGCTGGGGTTAAATATACTGAAGAATGACCACCACAGCAGGAAGCTTTGCTCCCAGTGCGAACTGTTAGTTCACCATCATAGTTTCAAGGCTGAAGAGGGAATATGGATAGCCAAATTACCAAAAAGGAAAACTGAGTTAATCATTCTATTGATGAAAAAACATTTTAATACTTATTTATAAAAAAAAGTACCCACTAAAGCAATAATCTAGCCTTAATACTAAGCCATATGCTCTTGTTTATGACCTGGAAGTACTCTGATGAGAGAGAGAGAGTGTGGAGGTCAGAAGACAATCTCAGGTGCCAGTTTTCACCTTCTACCTTGTTCAAGACAGGGTTTCTCTTGTCCACTGAGATGTATGTCATATTTTCCTGATTCTACCTCCCTTCTCCCAGTAGGGGTGTATTGAGATTCCAGACACAAGTGTTACTGCATCTGGCTTTTTATGAGGGTTCTGAGGATTTGAACTCAAGCAAACACTTGATCCACTGAGTCATCTTCCCAGTCCTAGAAGTACTTTAAATCATATTTAAGAACAGATTTATAAGTAGAGATATAAATGTGTAGTATACATGATAGAAATAGTTTTTATAGTTAAAGCACATGTAATAAAGCATGTAAGGCACCAAACAGGTAAATACAAAGGAGTCTATTAGTTGTTCAATACATTTAAGGAGATGATTTCACTCTTTAATTTATCGAAAAAGAGCATATCAAAATAAATTACATACAAATTGTAACTGATACATGCAACTACTTCCACCTTGGCTGCAGCATCCAACATTCCCGTCTCCTCTCTAGGAAGCTGGAATCACATGCTTGGCAGATGGGCAAGATTTATGCTTAGTAGTAGCAGAGGAATACTATCCTAGGGATGCCTGTGTATCTTTGGAATACCTCTAAAAATAACCATCTTACATTCAGAAACTGGAGTAATTATTCAAAAACCCGATTATGATGAGGAAATACAATGGGGTGAGTGCTGCATTAAGGCAGCAGGCATTTCAAATTTAGAAACCGAATTGTCTTTTCTAAGGGTTAAATCAGTTTTGTTTTATTACTCAATTTTTACAGAACCTCATCAACTTGTGATTTTTGACATATTCTTTTAACAAAGCAGCATTGCTCTGGAGAACAATGTCATGGTGCTATTTTCCCTAGGCTGAATACAAAAAACATTAGGTAATATCAGACTCTGCTATACTGCCAAACATATACGCACATCCAACCATGACACTTGTGTTTGTTTGTTTGTCTTTCGAGACAGGGTTTCTCTGTGAAACAGTTCTGGCTGTCCCGGAACTCACTTTGTAGCCCAGGCTGGCCTTGAACTCACAGAGATCTGCCTGCCTCTGCCTCCCAAGTGCTGGGATTAAAGGCCTGGCCCAACCATGACACTTTTAACTACCAGGAGTAATTAACAATTGGTTCATTCTGCTCTAGATCCCAAGGAACAAGTTAGTTCACTTGTCTGAGCTTAACTTTTCTTTAGTAATAAAATAAAGAAAATGTCTGTTTTTTTGAGACGGAGTTTCACTATGTAGCCTGGGCTGGTATCCAACTCCATTTCCCAATATCTAGAATTATAGACATGTGCCACCATTCCCAAATTAAAACAGACATAATGCCTTCATAGAAATATATATACTCTGTAAATACTAGTTTAAAATTATTTCATAAATCTTAAGTTCCTTGTTTAAACAATAACGTCCTTCTGGGTCCTTAGTAATCTAGCAGCAGAAAATGGAGAGCCACCACTTCAGTTTAAGAATTAAGGCCAAAAAGAAGGGAGCAGTGGCACATACCTACAGACCCAGCTACTAGGGAGAATAAGGCAGAAGGATTTTGTGAGTGCAGGAGTTCAAGGCTAGCCTGGGAAACACAGAAAACCCATTTCATTCTGCCAAAGCTCCAAGAGCCAAAGGAACCTATTTTTGAAGTACCTGCATGTTCTGTGGGCAAAAGGAAACTAGTGAGGCAGCAGAAGATCAGAGCATCTCAGCCATTCAGGAAGACCTGACAGTTTCAACAGCCAACACAGTCAGAAGTGCTGGCTGATAGATCCCAACATTAAAAACTAAGCAGGTATTCAAAGGCCACACAGAGCCCGAAGACTAATGTCATGGACACCAGGCTGGTTACAAAAATACAAACACCTACCATTCATTCACTCAAAGACAGAGAATCTGTATGTCATATTGAACATTTTTTTTTTTTTTAAATTACAGCTGTCCACTGTTCTATGTTAAACCAGATATTGATCTGGCTCCAAAAAACAGGCCTGATCTGAATGTTATTGGTATGCAAAAGAGAAGGTGCTTTTCCTAAGGCCTTAACAAAAAGGTTGTTTTTTGTTGTTGTTGTTTTGTTTTTGTTTTTTGAGACAGTTTCTCTGTGTAAGAGATCTGGCTGTCCTGTCTTGGAACTCCCTCTGTAGATCACGCTGGCCTCGAGCCTGCCTCTGTCTCCTGAGTGCTGGGATTAAAGGTGTGCGCCACCACTGCCAGGCAGTGAAAATATCATTTCTCATAGTCTCTTCACAAGTGAGAATTGCATCTACTTAAACAGACCTAAGCTAGCACTGTGTAGATGTCATTTTAAAAGCTTGAACATATAAAAAATGAGCAGCCCAGTTATGATTTCTGGGAGATTCGCTAATTAATTGGTAACTTTTCAGCTCAGTGCAGTGACTGTGGGTATGTATGCTCAACTCAGCAGTACAACTTCTCCCACACAACAGAACTTCCCCATATCTAGCTGTGTGCTTCCTAAAAAACTGGGCTGGAGCGATGGCTCAGCAGTTAAGAGCACTGGCTGCTGTCCTTGCATAGGACCTGGGTTTGATTCTCAGCACCTACGTGGTGGCTTACACTGTGACTCTAGTTCCAGGGGATCCGATGCCTTCTTCTGACCTCTGAGGGCACAAGGCTGCACATAGTGCACAGACATAAATTCAAGCAAAACATTCATACACATAAAATAAAAAAGAATCCCAAAAAATTTTGAAAAGACTTATATAGCCATATAAATGTGCTTTATGCAGTATCTATTCTTTGGAAATCAAATTCTACAAAAACATACAAGAGGTTAATGAGAGACGATTTCTTTTGGAAACAATGAGAAAAGGCAACTATGATGGGAATCGGTAAGATTCTGTTGCTCTGACAACATCTGTAACTCAGCACGCACATTAGCTGACATCAGGTTTCTAAGACATACCTTCCACGCTTCTGTGGGCTCTGGCTCAGCCTGCTCAGATGGCTCTTCTTCCCCCTTCACTTCAGCCTTCGCTGCCTCCTTCGGGGTCTTTTTGACGCCCGGCCCTTCTGTGACCTGACTCTGAGCAATGGCTGGTGCAGACGTGGGCCTAGGACTTCGGTCTGCGGACTCAGCAGCTGCTGCTATGTGAGGAAAAGGAGAAGGAAGACTAGATGAAGGCAAGTGCCACTGTCCTGACCTTACATCACAGCTGTGAATCCTGTATCTGTCCTACAGAAGGCAAACACAAATGATTAATGTTTTTTGAGGTAGCTTCTGACAAGACAAAGGCATCCTCAACAGAGAAACTAGAACATCTTAATGTCTGTCTCATAAACACTGAATTTGGGAGAAGATTGAAAAAAGAAATCAAAACCATTTAATTTATAATCTGTTAGTTAAACAAAGGTACAATGAAGGGTGGATTCAGGATGACTCTCCCAATAAGCCTTTTTGAATTAAGTATCTATTTATTTTTAGATGGTTTCAGGGACCTAAACATCTAATTTAAGGGAGAAAATGAAGTCTGTTTTCTTATTTTTGTTTCGTTGTTTTCTGTGAAGTCTTCTGATAGACAGGTACTACTACCGTTTTATGTGTGTGAAGGCAAATCTTTGAGCCAGACATTCTCCTGTAACAAATCATCTGATTAACATTAATTCAAAAGCTTCTTCCATCCAAACACAAAGCATCAACCCCTCCCCACCTTGCCAATGTCTTCCGGCCTGTTCTCTATAGTACTTAAAACACTGGCTCTCAACCAGGGCTTATTTTCCCCCCAGGGCACATCTGACAATGTCTGGAGATGTTTCTGGTTGTCACAACTGGGGTGGAGAGAGAAAGGAGGTGCTGACATCTAGTGCATAGAGGCAAAGGTGGCTGAGGCTGAGACGCACTAGTCAGCAGAGAAGCCTACCTAGACCACTTTAGAGAGAATAAACAATACAGGCTGACAATAAAACCTCTGCACATAATTAACTGCTGCTTGGGTTTGAACTATTCGGCATCTATACTTTATTTAATTTAGTTCAAAATAGGGACTGAAGCTATAGCTCAGTGATAGACTGCTTGCCTAGCAAGCAGCAGGCCCTGGTTCCACCCCCAAAATCACAAAATAAAACAAGAAACAGTAATTTTTTTTCAGTTTTTAATCTTCATTCTTTTCTTTTAGGGTTTAAAAGAAAGTGCCCACACATTTTGCAATAAACCTTACTAACTAGACACCGTCTAAGAAAGTAAGTTTTTTTAAAAATGTGATTTAGCCGGGCGGTGGTGGCGGCGCACGCCTTTAATCCCAGCACTCGGGAGGCAGAGCCAGGTGGATCTCGGTGAGTTCGAGGCCAGCCTGGGCTACCAAGTGAGCTCCAGGAAAGGCGCAAAGCTACACAGAGAAACCCTGTCTCGAAAAACCAAAAAAAAAAAAAAAAAAAAAAAAAAAAATGTGATTTAATTTTGTTTGTTTTTTGTTTGAGGGTCTTCTCTACATAGCCGTGGCTGTTCTAGAACTCAGTATGCAGACTAGGCTGACCTTGAACTCTCAGAGCTCTGTCTTCCTCTGCCTCCTGAGTGCTGGGATAAAAGGTGTGCACTATCACATCCAGCTTTAGTATTTCATTTTAAAATTGTATTTAATTTCTATTACCAGTGTGTCTCTATGCAGCGGTCAGAAAATAACCCATGGGCAATTGATTCTTTCCTTCTACTTGGGATCAGGGATTGAACTCAGGGTCTCAGGCTTGCATACCAAGTGCTTTTACCCACTGAGCCATCTCAACAGCTCTGACTTAATGTTTCAGATAAAGGATGATCATCCTTTCTTACACTGAGACTTTTAGTTTTAATACTCTTTCATGGAAACCTCACAATTTTATTATGTACTTTCCTTCCTCCTCAGGCTACTGAACATAATTTATTCTGATACATTTAGATTTATAAACTTAAAAATGAAGCAAAACAAAGGAATTCTTTAAGCTAGAACAAACTGAAAAATGGCAAGTTACACCTATCTTATACATATGACAAAGAGAGAAATGCTTATTATCCTGAATGATCTCCAGAGAAGGAATTTCTCAGAGGATGCCTAGCAGAAGAACCGCAGAAACACAGAGCCTATTTCATCTCGCAGTGACAGATCTGTGGCCGCCTGCAAGTCCCCGTTGCTAATGGGTGCTCTCAGCTAGTCAATGCAAGAGTGGCAGATGGCAAAGCAAGCCTAACAAAACAAGGGAAATGACAAAATATTTCTCTCACAGTTGTGTTAAAGCCTCGTATTACATGTGTATTCACACCTCCTCTCAAAGAATTGATTCAACTCTGCCTGGAATCACAGAAACATAGCCCTTGCTTTCAACATGTGCTATTTTGCCACATGAATCTGGTTCTAATCCAGCACTAATACTGCAGAGCCAAATGATGTATGTCTCCAGCATTCCTACTGTGTATGGGAAAGTAGACACAAACAGAAAAACTAATGGGTAGACACAGAGGTGGCAATAGTTCAGAAACTGGAAAACACCAATTGCAGTGAACATCCCTAAGAAAACCAACAAGAAACAGGCAAGATCTAAACCCTGAACATCACATGTGAAGCTCAGTCACACACAGTGGTGCTAAGAAAAGAGACTTGAGTTTCCTCATCTCTGGAATGTGGACGATATTTACTGTAGAGGAGAGCTGGGGAAAGAATACTCAACAGATAGAAAAATATTTAATGAACTCTAAATATCAATAACTTTGATCATACTTCAGTCCTTGTATTTATCTTTTATAGGCTAATATTATCTCAAGAATATGTTGGACAAAAATTAATTATACACACAGCAGCATATAAGCCAAATGAAGGATACCACTTAGGAGCCCTGGAGAAAGGTAAATTTTCTTCATTTTTGCAGTAAGGAGACTGCAAACTATAGCTCACAATAAATATGGTAGGGGTTGGTTTAAAAAAAACAGCTTTATTGGGATATAATCTACATACTGTACAATTTGCTCATTTAAAGTATAATTAAACTTTTATCAGTATGTTAGTGATTTGTTTTTAAGATGCTTGGCCTGGGCTGGGGAGGTGACTCAGCTAGTAACAGCTTGTGCAGCATAAGGACCCAAGTTCAGATCCCCAGCACCCTGCACCAGCTAAGTCACCTCGGTGAACTTAGTCCTGGGTGGGGGAGCAGATCCTGGAGTTCACCAACCAGCCAACCTACCAAACTGGTAAGCTCCAGGTTCACCGAGTGACTCTGTCTCAAAATATAGGTGGAATGTGGTCATGGGGGGCACTTGATGTCAACCTCTGGCCTCGATGTGCACTGTACAACATACCCACTGCAGCACTCACTCATACGCGAGCACACTTTAATTCAGGAACAGAACATAGCTCAATGGCAGAGCACTTGCCTGGCATGCCTAAGGTCCCGGGTTTGATCCTTTGCACCAAGGAAAAGATAAATGATAACTGTTTTGAGCATTATTATTTCATTTCTTGGCTATAAAGGATTCTGAAGTCTATATCAAGAACACTTAACTTTAAAAAGTCAATGTCAGGCTGGAGAGATGGTTCAGTGGTTAGGAGCACTAGCTGTTCTCCCAAGGGACCTGGGTTCAATTCCCAGAACCCACATGACAACTTACAACTGTCTGTAACTCCAGTTCCAGGGGATCTGACACCCTCACACAGACATACATGCAGACAGAACACCAATGTACATAAAATAAAAATAAATAAATCATTTTTAAAAATTTTTAAAAAGTCAATGCCTTCCACTTCTGAAGGGTCTGCTCAAAGTGCTGGTGCTGACACTCACAGAACCACTGATTTCAGTTACCATGCCACTGCTGGCTGACAAGAACAGATGCAGACTTGGAAGAAGTGCCATAACTTCATAGACATTATTTTCTAATTATGTGTATCGGTGTGTGTGTGTGTGTGTGTGTGTGTGTGTGTGTGTGTGTGTGTGGTGGGGTGTGTGCACATGAGTGCAGGTACCTGCAGAGTCCAGAAGAAGGTTTGGAATCCCCCGGAACTAGAGTTACAGGCAGTTATGAGCTACCTGATGTGGGTGCTGGAAACTGATTTTCTGCAATAGTACCACATGCTCTTAACCGCCAAGACATCTCTCCAGCCCTAATGTTTTGTTTTGTTTTGTTTTGGGACAGGAATTCTCTGTATAACAGCCCTGACTGCTGTTTTTCCATTGGCACAATGGCTACACCTGAATCTACTGCTGTTTCAGCCAGTAACTGCGGCTCTGCAGTTATGGCCTGCTTCTCAGGCAGAGGCCCAGCAGGACTTTACATCCCACTGGATCTGCCTCCTGCTGCCGCCACCAAATGTAGTTTTGGACTAAATCTCTATCATTCTACTTATCAATAAGACTCGGGAATCAGAGGCTGGGGTGGAAACCTGCTAGCTCAGAGAGGTTGAGGAGCAGCTGACCTTCTCTCTTTGCAGCATCTCAAAAAAGAGACCATCCTTCTCTGCCAAACCAAAAAAGCCTGCCATATTCAAAGCCCCTCCCTACTACTTCCTCTGCGTCTCTCTATTCTCCCAGACTCCCTCTGATCTTTATGATTCCTTTCTGTCAACTAATTACTCGTTCCACTTCCTGATCCAAGTTTGATTTTATTTAATTAATGCAAACACACACTAGGGGTTCACAGTGTGATGGAATATCCCACAACATTCCCCCCTTTTTTATCTAGATAAAAAGGAAAGGTTTTAACTCTAATGTAGTAAAACTATATACAATAAGAACAATTACCAGGTAAGAATTACATTCACAATGTCCAGTCCATTTGTACTTGGCAAATTCAGAGAAAGTATTCTATTATCTATCCTATCTTGGTGAGTCCGAAGTTTTATACCTAAACCACTTTCTATCATAACTTGTACTACCAACCTAAAAATATCTTTTTAGACCTTAAAATATTTTATTAGGTAAACAACATAAGCTTTTATGTTTCTCAACCTTATAAACTTTACAACTCTTTTGTAAGTCTCCTGGCTGTCCTAGAACTTACTCTGTAGACCAGGCTGGCTTCAAACTCAGGGATCCAGTTGCCTCTGGCTCCAAGTGCTGGGATTAAAGGTGTACACCACCATCACCTGTTCATATATATATATATATATATATATATATATATATATATATATATGGTCTGTTTTGATAGCATTTATTTGTTTGTTTGTTTCTTAATTTGTTGTTTTGAGACAGGGTCTTACTATGTAGCTCTGGCTGTCCTGGAACTCACCATGTAGAGCAGGCCTCTGCCTCCCAAGTGCTGGGGTTAAAGGCCCGTGCCAACATCGCCCTGGCCATGTGATTGGGTTTTCTGAGGCAGGTTCACCTCTAGTCCAGGTTGGCCTATAATTCCCTCTGTAACCCAGGCTAGTCCTGAATTCTTAATGATTCTCCTGCCTCAGCCTCCCAAATGCTGTACTATATACAGACACCACCATGTCCAGCAGTAACAGCTGACCTAACTATATATATTAAAGGGAAGTGAGGGGCTGGGAAAATGGTTTGGTGTATAAACAGCTTGCTGCACAAATGTGAAGACTTGAGTTTAAACTCCTAGAATCTACATGAAGTTGTGCACAACAGTGTGCACCTGTAATCTCTGTGCTCTCAGGAAACAGAGACAGACTCCCTAGCCGCTCATGTGCCAGCCAGCCTGCTATACACAGTAACAATCTTCTTCTACACTCACAGTGTTGCAGAAGCACATCCACACCCACACACACCCCACCCCAATAACAACAGAAGTCAAAACAAAGCAAAAGAAGAGTAAACCCAATAGGAAAAGTCTTTAACTGCTTAGAGCAGTGGTTCTCAACCTGTGGGCCCTGACCTGACAAACTTCTGTCTCCAAAACTAATTATGTTACAATTCATAACAGTAGCAAAATTACAGTTAGGAAGTAGTGTGAGGAAACGTACTACAGGGTCGCAGCATTAGGAAGGCTGAGAACCACTGGCTTAGAGTAATACCTGGAATATGAAGTGCTCAATGATATTAATTATTAGCAACTTTCATTCTCTCCTTTCTACATAAAAACAGAGAAAGGAGCCGGGCGGTGGTGGCGCACGCCTTTAATCCCAGCACTAGGGAGGCAGAGCCAGGCGGATCTCTGTGAGTTTGAGGCCAGCCTGGGCTACCAAGTGAGTTCCAGGAAAGGCGCAAAGCTATACAGAGAAACCCTGTCTCGAAAAACCAAAAAAAAAAAAAAAAAAAAAAACAGAGAAAGGAGTAAAAAGCATAGCTGGGGCTAGAGGACAGCTCAGCCTGGTTTTGTTCCCACCCCCACACTGGGCAGTGCTCACCACTACCTCTAACTCCAGATGCGGAGGCTCTAACGCCCTCTTTCTGACATCCCCGGGCATCCACACTCATGGTTCCATAACCACACACAAACACACATGTGGTTGGTATATTGTGAATCCCAATAAACTTATCTGGGGGTCAGAGAAGAGCACATCCAATCTCACCTTGCCAACTTCTCAGCTGATCCTGTTTCCTCAGTCTGGAAGCCTCTGAGTCCTCATCCAAATGGATCTCAGCTGAACTGCTGCTAAAAGCCTAAAAGCTTAAAAAGCCTCTAATTCCTAGTTTTCACACCTTATATACCTTTCTGTTTCTTGCCATCACTTCCTGGGATTAAAGGTGTGTGTCACTATGCCTGGCTGTTTCCTAGTGTGGCCTTGAATACACAGAGATCCTGCCTGCTAAGGGATTAAGGGTGTGTGCTGCCTGACTTAAAATGGCCTTTTCTCCCTGATCTCCAGGCAAGCTTTATTTATTAACATACAAATAAAATATCACCACATTTCAGCACAAATAAAATATCACCACATACACATACATATAATTAAAAATAAAATAAATCTTATTTTTAAAGCACACATCAGAGAGGACAGTCCTGGCTTCTGTTTCTAGTTCTAAATAGCTTTCTGACTTTGGTAAAGTGCTTAAGTTCTAAAGCTAAGTAAGAATGATAAATATCAGTAGACAGCTATCTGAAAAAATGAGAAAAAAATGTTTCAATAAAAATGTAAAGAAAAGTTGCAGCACAGTGGTGACACACACCTTTAATCCCAGCGCTTGGGAGGCAGAGGCAGGTGGATCTCTGAGTTCGAGGCAGCCTGGTCTACAAATCGAGTTCCAGGACAGCTAGGGCTACACAGAGAAACTCTGTCTTGAAAAGAAACAAAAAGAAAAAAGTAAAGATATGAATTGGGATAGCCTGGAACTCGCTGTGTGGAACAGGCTGGCACAGAGATCCACCTGCTTCTGCCTCTGAGTGCTGGGAATGCTAGGGTTGAAGGCATGCGACACCCCAGCCTAGTTCTCTTTGGTCTGAAGCAGACAGTAGCATCACCTTCACTTTACCACTGAGGCTCTTTGTAAATCGGAACCATACTTCCCAGTAGAGCACTGTGGCACCTTTGTAACCCCAGCACTCAGGAGGTCAGGACAGGTGGCTAAGGAGCTTGAGGCCAGTCTGAGATATAGCAAGCTCTTGTCTCCAAACAATGCAGAAACAAAAACAAAACCAACCAACCAAAAACCCCTTGTGCTTCCTTTATATTTCTCTAAAGATCCCAGTAATATCTAACACAAACCTCCGTCAAGGCTCCTGGAGGCCCGTTTGCTTGCTGTCCGCTCAAAGTGTGGGGCGGGCCTGTCAATCAGAGCACTGGCTTGCCTGGTCTGTGCTTGAGTCCGGCCACTGTACCGAAATTTAGATCCCAGGGCAAGAAATTTACTTTTGGGAATGGTGTCTGTAGAAGTGAGTCTGGGAGAGAAAAATCATAATAATTGTGTTATTTTATTATTTTATTTCAGTATTTTATTGTTGTGACTATAAAACTAATAATCAACCAAGAATAAAAATGTTTCCAAATTCTTGTGTTTTTTTTTTTTTTTTTTAGTAGTTAAGTGATTTCTAGTCAAGCAATCCTTATTGTAAGTCTCCGCCATATCTCAAGCAACCAGAATTAGTTTAGTTGGGACCTATATTAAAATCATTGTTAACTCTCTATAGATAAGATATTATGGTTTTCAAAATGCCTGATAGCACTGGAGGATTTACACTACATCCTTGAAATGTTTTCATCATTTCGTCATACAGGATATTGAAACATCCCAGGAAGAGGTTACTTGCTTAAGGCTACAAAACTATTAAGAGGCTGGACTGTAACAACCCAAGCCCAGGCCTGAGTTCAGCTGCTGTGAAAACAACTAAAGGCCCTAGCAAGCACCAGGTCTCACCCCTCACTTCTGTTGTCCTTTTTCAGTGCATGGAAAGGCACTCTGAGAACGCTGTAGCAGGCTTTCCAACCAAAAAGGGGGAACTAGATTCACTTTACTTAATTAGTCTCCTTGGTTCTTTCTCACCTGAGCTAAATAAAATGACAGCCCTACAGAGAAGACACTTTCAACAGCAGGTTCAAGATTAATGTGCACAAATAATGTATCCTTGAGAAATACCTGAGTGAGAACAATACCTGAAAAACGTGTGATGCTCCACACACACTTTCCATAATTTCTTAGCTGCTCGGTAACTGGGAAGCTTGAAGCCAATGGTACTTTCATATTGTTCTTGCTATATAGATACAAATAAACACAGAACGTAAGTATTATTTGGTTATTGTGACACAGAGCCAGAGAAATATGATACCACCAGAGATGTTTTTAAATACAAAGAATATCTTGGGGTTGGAGAGATGGCTCAGTGGTTCCAAAGGACTGGCATTCAATTTCCAGAACCCACATGGTGGCTAACGATCTGTTACTCCATACCCCAGGGATCCAACATCCTCTTTTGACCTCCATGGGTACTAGACATGCATGTGGTACACAGACATGCAGGCAAAACATCCATACACACAATATCTTTAAAAATTAAAAAAAAGTTACATTAAATTTTTTTTCTTACTAAAAGAAGCCTGTTCACCGAGGGAAGCTTTTTCTAGAGCAAAAAGGCCAGGAAATACATCTTCTACTACTTATGCATCTTTTTTTTAGAACACAAACACAAGCATTCTTCCGAGACATACTTTAATCTACTTTTGACTGCTAGAACTGCTTTTCCTTAGGCACACACCTTCATTTGTAACTTTAGATTACTCAATAATCAGGGAGTGAGACGTCTAGTCATTTCCCCAGCCAGTCACTATTATGATGCAATAGGAATTAGTAATGGGAGCTAAACATTTGTCTCAAACCAGATTATTTTTTCTTTTTTCTAAAGGCAGGGTCTCATGATGCCCTGACTAGCCTGACTATGTAATCTCAGGGCTCTGGAATTAAAGGTGTGCCTCCCTGTCCAGCCCAGACTCTTTCCATTTAACACTGACAAGTAAGAATCACAGTACTGACTGTGTTCAGCATGCTCAGTGTATGCACATACCGTGGACTAGCCAAACCCAGCAAACTGGCATACAGACTAGCTCACAAGTCTTTTTTCTTTTCTTTTTTTTGGGGGACAAAAATACTTAAAACTCATCCTCATAGTGCTTTTTTTCTGAGGGGACAGTCAGCGTTGAATGTTAAACCCAGGCCTCATACATGCTAGTGTACCTCTTGGCAACTGTCAAGAACACATTCATTTGTAACCTATAGTTAACACATTGTGCAATAAGGCTCTGGCACTTATCTCCTTGTTCTTGAATGATTACAAGTTTTCTTTTCCTGTTTAACTGACCTGTGAGCACCTTTCTGACCGAAGCAAACAGTCTGGTCCTGAAAGGGCTATTAGAAACACATGCTTTTGGTCTGGCCTCTTTGTTTCTACCTCAAGCACACTTTGTAAGATGGAAAAGGAAGCAGGTTCGCTTTGAGTGTGTTATTGCCAGCAATAGTATGATTAGATTCAAAATTATAGTTTCCTACATGAAGAACTGAGCTCCAAGGAGTTATCTGCTGACTCAGCTACAAAATGGCGCCACCCCCAGCTGTAGCCACAGCACACTACTTCTCAGGATTCTGCTCTTCTCAACTGCTTTCAGAATGAATTGTGTATTTTCACTACATAATAGACAGTTGAGACTTCTAAGCCAAGGGCTTCCAGCAACATTTATTAATATTTCTGTGCATGTATATCTTTCTGCTTTCCTACAGTAAAATGCAAGCTAGTTGAAGAACGGCATCTTTTTACTTACTATTATATTTAGAGCCCCTAAAATAGTCACTGGCACACAATAAAAAAACCCGTTTAATAGGCATTTCTTGGTTAGCCGGGCATGGCGGTGCATGCCTTTTAATGTCAGCACTGGCACACAGGGCAAGCGGATCTTTGTGAGTTCCAAGCCAGCTGGGTTTACACAGTTAGACACTGTCTCAAAAAATTCTTTGTTGTTAAGACTGCTGGATTTTAACTGAGGGAGGATACTGATAAGCACTTGCACAGGAAATTGATTATGGAATGAAACAGTGCTTCAAGGCACAACCAGAATTTCCGAGACAGTACCACTTTTCACCAGCAGATGGTGATACACACACACAAAGCCACCTTCCATAAGCAAGGACAGGGCTTCTCTGCCTTGGAGCTCTGTCTTCAAACGGATTGGAACAGAAAAGTCACTATCCTTCTTGAATATAAGGAAGCTCAGCTTCCGATCTTTCCAGAGTCTCTTGTTGAGGAAGTCGCAGAGAAGAAATTAGAGCTTTAAAAAAAACACCCGGGGCTGAAGAGAATTCAGTGGTTAAGAGCAAGCACATGCTGCTCTTGCACAGGACTCAAGGTCAGTTCTCAGTGCCCATGTCAGGTGGCTCACAACGGCCTGTAGCTCTGGCTCCAAGGGATTCAAAGTCTCTGGCCTCCTGGGGCACCTACATTCATGTGCACATACCCATACACACCCCCCCCCCATACACACTTAAAATTAAATCTCCAGGACAGCCAGAGAAACAGAGATCCTGTGTAAAAACACAAAATGAAAACTTCACAAAATTAACTCCTATTTAAACAATTAATTTTCTGTTGTACCCCCATAGTTCTTCAATATAAAAGCTAAATTGATGGGTATAAAATGAAATTTGACCACCAATTACTGAGGTTTTTTTTTTTTTTCTTTTCTAGTTTTGTTTTGTTTTCTAGATGTTAAAGACAGTTCTTATGTGGACAGGCTTGGCAGTCCTGACCCTCTTTCTCCACCACAAAAATGCAAAGATCAGCTGTATGAAGACTTCTTAGATGACGTAAGGGGAAATGGGGAGAAGAAATGTTTGATTTATTATTCATTTTTTTTTTCTTTTTCAAGACAGCCTTTCTCTGTGTACTGTCCCTGGAACTCACTCTGTAGACCAGGCTAGCCCCGATGCAGAGATCTGCCTGCCTCTGCCTCCTGAGTGCTGGGATTAAAGGCATGCGCCACCACCACCCAGTGATTCATTCATTCTTAAAACAAGGTTTTCCTTTGTAACTCAGGCTAACCCTGAACTTGTAATTTTCCTTCTGCTTCAGCCTCCGGGATTACAAGTGTGGGGATTACAAGCATTTTGCTAATCAAGCCCAGCTAGACAGGATGTTTCAGTCCACATTTGGTTTGGGAGAAAAGAAAAACTTAAGTTGCATACCTCTCCAGGCCGGATCTTGATGAAAAAACTGCTACGTTTATAAGAAATCTTTAGCACTTTGGGCCAAGGAAAACGGTTAATTCTCAACTTATCTTTGTAAACCAAAAGGCCACTAGAGCAGACTCCAAGGATAATATCCACTCCCTCCAAGTCCTGAAAAAGAGAAGCACCAGTATTTCACTGAGTGAAGTGTTCACATTATTGGCTTTAAAAAAAAAATAATTTATTTAATTTTATTTTATGTGCATTGGTGTGAGGGTGTCAGATCCCCTGGAAATGGAGTCACAGACAGTTGTGAGCTGCCATGTGGGTACTGGGAATTGAACCCGGGTCCTCTGAAAGAACAACCAGTGCTCTTAACCCCTGAGCCTTCTCTCTAGCCCCACTATTGGCTATTATTAAATAATCTGAAGAGATCAATAACCCAAAACGGTTACAAAGTATACAATAAAGAAACAAAATTTAAGCTGGGTAGTGGCGAACGCCTTTAATCCCAGCACTCAGGAGACAGAGCCAGGCGGATCTCTGAGTTTGAGGCCAGCCTGGGCTACAGAGTGAGTTCCAGGAAAGGTGCAAAACTACACAGAGAAACCCTGTCTCGAAAAACAAAATAAAACAAACAAAAGTCATCGTCCACTGGAGTATTACATTTCAGGAGACAACCTCAGTGATCACACTAGGCACCATGATAAGAGTTATCACTATTGGGCCAGTGAGATGACTCAGCAGATAAAGGCATTTGCTGCCAAGCCTGACAACCTGAGTTCAATTCCCAGAATCTACATGGTAGAGTGAAAAAAACTCCCAGGTTGTCCTCTGATCTCCACACATCCACTATGACGTGTACATGTTTATTATTGTATAAAGGCACAAGAGCCGGGCAGTGGTGGTGCACACCTTTGATCCCAGCGGATCTCTGTGAGTTGGAGGCCAGCCTGATCTACAAAGTGAGTTCCAGGACAGCTCAGACTCCACAGAGAAACCCTGTCTGGGAGAAAAAAAAAAAAAAACACAGGAGAGATCTGACAGTAAAAAGTTTGATGTTAAGTATATTAAATTATAAATGCTATTCCTAAGCCTAGAAAGAACACTAAAGCATTATATTAATGTAGCTAGTTATTAAGAAAAAAATTGAAATATTAATCACATAATACAAGGAAAACAAAATGCACCTGAATTAATCATGATTATTTATCTAGTTAAGTCATCGAACCTAAAGTTAAATCCTCCTGACTACTTTTCCCTAAGATACATACAGAGAAAATTATTAGTAGCTAAATGTGTTATATACAAAAATTACAGAGATAAGGAAATCCAGCTTCAACTCAAAGACTACGTAGCTGAGAATTTACCAGAAGATGTCTTCTTACCTTAAAGTCCATGGGTTACAACTATCTTTCTCTTTTTAAAAAATTTTAAAGGGGCTGGAGAGATGGCTCAGTGGTTAAGAGCACTGACTGCTTTCCTAGAGGACCCGGGTTCAATTCCTGGCACCCACATGACAGCTCACAACTGTCTGTAACTGTACTTCCAGGGGATCCGACACCCTCACATAGACATACATGTAGGCAAAATCACCAACACACATAAAAATAAAAACTAAAAAAATTTTTTAACTTAATTGATTAATTAATTATGGGCGGGCACACACCCGCCACAACTGAAGTACTTGTGGAGGTCAGAGGCCAACTGCTGGAGATGGTTCTCCCCTTCCACCATGTGGGTCTCGGGGATCACACAGCCTGTTAGCTTTCTTTCTCTTTTGGTGACATTACTGGGAGGAGCACTTTGCTTTGTTACGTTTTGAAAGGGCACATGTTATCTGACTCCATCCATTCCTGACGCCAGCTTCCATTAGGAAATGAGAAGTAAAAGCTCAGAGGTTTCAGTCCTGCAAGTGCCCCTCAGCTGACCCACTGAAGTCCTGACAGCACTCCCCAGGGTCACGGGGTCACAGTGCCCCTCAGCTGACCCACTGAAGTCCTGACAGC